TAAGCAGCGAGCCTGTTGTATTAGTCGTTGATCCTCTTCCTCCTCCTCTTCCTCCTCCTCCTTCCTCCCTCTCTCCCCCCCCCCTCCCTTTTCTCCCTCCTTTTCCATCCCTCCCTTTGCCCAGGCGAGGTCGGTCGTGAGTGGACCAAGGGCGCCCACTATCTCCAGGGCGAGACAAGCCGAGGGCTCAGCTCGGTCGGAGCTGCAGAGAGAGAGAGAGAGAGAGGGCCCACGACCCCCGACATCGCGATTTGCACCAAACGCGGACCCGCAGCCTCGGCGTGCTCGTCGAGAGCATAGGGGGAGCGGAATAGCGAAGAGGAGGAGGAGGAGGGGGAGGAGGAGGAGGAGGAGGAGGAGGAGGAGGAGGAGGAGGAAGAGGAGGAGGAGGAGGAGGAGGAGGAGGAGGAGGAGGAGGAGGAGAGGGGCTGAGGAGAAGGATGGTTACATTTATCGGGATATCTGCTCGTTCCCTCTCCACACCGCGCCCTCGAAACCCGCAGGAGGAGACGGAGGACGAGCTGACGGAGACCTCCAGCCAGTAGGCCCCTCTCATCGTGCAGAGTCGCCACTCGTCAGTGGGCTCCTTGACGGGCGCCAGATTGCGAAGAAAACATCGGCATAAGTATATAGACTTTTGCACGTCCATGCGGCTTTCTTCGATCGGCGCCGGCCCCCCCACCCCCGCCAGATGCGGGGGCCAGAGGCGCCGCCGTGCCCTCAAACTCCGGCAGGACATGTGGAAGTCTATGTGAATACAGGTGTTGTTGCTTCCCCACAGCCCATACGCTGTCTACTGGCAATCTCGCCTCGGTTGAGCGCCAGGACTCGCGCACGCCCCGTTAGCTCCTGGGCGGGCTCGATGCCAGCCCGTCTTTTGCACTCTTTTGCACCATCACAGAGCTGTGATGCCTCGTCCCCTTCCTCTATTCGGCCCAGTCCTCCACCTCCTTCCTTTCAAAACACGAGAATCTGCGATGCCGTCCACTTGCCTGTCTGGACAGCCGTTTTCGCGAAGGCTGTGCAGGTCCTGGCCGTCCCACACGGGGCTGGAGCGTGTGTCGGTGGCAGCGCGGGGGGGGATAGGCTCAGGGAGGGCACGCGTCGACCCCCGATCGCCCACTCATCGCCGAGAAGGGGCCCGATAGCCCGCCCCGTCCAGGAACGCTCGGTCACGCTCTCAGGGGCCCGGCGTCGATTGAGCGCGGCGATGGGGGGTCGATGCTTCCCTTGACGAACCAACAACACACACCCATACCCATAGGGGGGTCGGAGAGGGCTATGGGTGCGTGTTGTCGAATGGGGGTCCCCGCTCGAACGGGAGCGTTCCCCAGGGTCCGACAACCCGCACCCATGCCCATAGCCAGTCCTCCTCCCAACGACCCCCCTATGGGTATGGGTGTGTGCTGTTCGTTCGTCATCCCTCCCGTGAGCCGGTGCCCGCATGGCGTTACCCCTCAAGGTGTGGACGGAAGATCTCACCGCATCGCCGATGCATCTTCGAAGCCAGAGGCCTTCCAAGCCTCGCGGCTCTCCCCCTGGGGCTCGCGGCCAAGCTGCGGGAGCGAGCTTCCCGGATCCCCCCTGCGTCGGAAACCTCCCAACACTGTACACCACCTGTACACCACCGAGCTCGATCATGTACACCACTGTACACCACCTGTACACCACCTGTACACCACCACCTCCAGATCATGCCGCGTCTTCGATGCGGCATGATCTGGAGCTCGATTGTCTCCATCCGACGTCGCCGATGCATAGCTAATGCACCGGCAGTGCGGTGCGATCCTCCGACCCAGCCTACTCCAGCCCCCTCTGGGCGGCTTGCGTAATGGGAGGGGGAGAGGGGCAGCTGCTTCCAGGGAGGAGGCAAGTCGAGGGAGCAACACCAAAGCCATAAGCGTGAGCTCTCTGAGGTCCGCACGGATTTCTTGGGGGTCCGCGGAGGGCACCTGCGCACAGCCACAAGTGCCGGCCAGGGCCGGCCTGGGCCCTGCGGCGTACCCATGGATCGTTGAAAGCAGTATGTTGGGATTCCAAGGTTCCAAGCTACTTTAGCCGCCGTCCTGGCTGGAGTATTGTTTGAAAATGTTTCATTTGTCCTCCGAAATCTGCCTGGCGTGAGTAGGGGGATACGCCCCACCTAATTCGACCTCCCTCTTCCGACCGATGGGTGCGCACCATGCCGCGGCCCAGGCGCGTCTGGTAGGGCGTGGTGGTGATGTATGCGTGCACTCTGCAGAGGCCTCTCTGGGCCCTCGGGAACCCACAGGCGGAGGGGAATGAAGAGGAGGATGAGGACCAGTGCAAACCCAACACTCATCAACGATGCTGCAGTACACCCTCTCTCCAGGTTCCCTATCCACTGGCTCCTACACGGACTCATTTTCACTGTGGGAAATGCCCTGTTGGAAGACAACCGTTTGAAAATCCAGAATTCTGTCAGGACGCCATTCCTGGGACTTGAACGACGCGAATCACCGTTACTGATCTGTCTTGACGATCCTGAATCGCTCCAAAGCCTCATCTATGGGACGTCAACGCCACGAATCACCGTACCCGTTTTGTCTTAACGATCCTGAATCGTGCCAGAAGCCGCTCCTGGGACGTCAACACCGCGAATCAACGTGACTGTTGCGCCCCGACATCCTGACATCGTGTCAGCACACCGTTTCTGCGACGTTAACCATGCGAATAATTGAACTTGCTGCGAACTCTGAGGACGAATGTGCGTGGCGCTCAGGCGAGCGCCACATTCTGAAAAGGAACGGCGCTCTACCCGCGGAGCTCCTGCAGACTTTCAGAGGACTGCGCGCGGCGCTGGGTCGAGAGCCAGAGTTTTGAAGCTGGGCCGCCCTGCATTTGTGGAGCTCATTGCAAGCTTTTCAAACGAAAACGAATGTGCGCGGCGCTGTGGCGAGAGCCGCATGTGCACAAGGGACCGCCCTCCATCCGTGAATCTCCTTCAATCATCGGGCGACGAAATCTATACATATCCACTGCTCCCTGACCATGCCCATCTTGAACCCAGGAGCTGTGTATGCGCCCTCCTGGCCAAGCCAGGAGGGCGTGGCGTATACACCGCTGCGGGGTTGAGGATGGGCCTGGCCAGGGAGCAGTGGATATGTATAGATTTCGTCGCCCTAAATCAGAGCGTGAATTACCTACCCCGCTTTCATTTCCGGGCAAAATCAAGCCATACCACGCGCCTCCTCGTCGAGCGGCCTGACCAGTACAGGCTGCAGTTTGGCATCGTCTGGTATCTCTTGGAGGCGAGGGTGGTCCAAAGCGAGGCAGGTTTGCTTTCCCCCTGTTCAAGTTTTTCCCCAAACAGGTGCTTGCACTTAGGGGTCCTTACTTGCGTGAACCATTTCGGAACCCTCCCCGCAAAACCCCCGCCGTGTCGCCCGTCGCCGTCGCCGCCCGTCGCCGCCATCCCCGCCCGTCGCCGCCCGTCGCCGTCGCCGCATTGCAAATATTGCACCGCATAGACTGCATCACGTAGGTTGCATCGCATTCTCCTTTTTCAAAAGGAAATAGGTTCTGCCCCCCTCCCCCCCCCGGACTTCTCGATTTCCCGGGAACCTATGCAAAACACATACAAAGTTGACCACGTGTCCATTCTACCTATGAGTTCATACAATCCCAGCCAAACTGGTATCGGCCCCTTTGCCTTCCTCGCAAAAAATACTATGCGCGCACATTCGGTTATCAAAACTTCCGCTACCGAGGAACCCCACATACCAATTTTATTTCCCATATGTATACCATCGGTGCTTCTGCTGCTGCTCCTCCTTCTCCTCCTCGGTGTCCCCCTCCTGCTGCTGCGTCTGCTGCTGCTGCTTCTGCTGCTGCTGCTGCGTCTGCTGCTGCAGCTGCTGCTGCTGCTGCTGCCGCTGCTGCTGCCCCACCTCCCCGTCCTCATCCTCCTCCTCCTCCTCCTTCTCCCCCTCCTCCTTCTCCTCCTCCTCCTCCTCCTCCTCCTCTTCCTCCTCCTCCTCCTCCTCCTACATCCCAGCGCACCCCCTGTGGTGTCGAGGACATGCCACGCCTGCCACGCCCTGGCAGCCTGCAGCGCATAGGGCATCCTCCCCCAACGCACCCCCTGTGGCGGCGAGGAAATGCCACGCCTGCCACGCCCTGGTAGCCTGCAAGGCATAGGGTCCCCACCCCCAGCGCACCCCTTGCGGCGTCGAGGAAATGCCACGCCTGCCACGCCCTGGGAGCCTGCAACGCATAGGGCCCCCACCCCCAGCGCACCCCTTTGTGGCGTCGAGGAAATGCCACGCCTGCCACGCCCTGCGAGCCTGCAACGCATAGGGCCCCCACCCCCAGCGCACCCCCTGTGGCGTCGAGGAAATGCCACGCCTGCCACGCCCTGCGAGCCTGCAACGCATAGGGCACCCGCCCCCGGCGCACCCCCTGTGGCGGCGAGGAAATGCCACGCCTGCCACGCCTTGGGAGCCTGCAGCGCATAGGGCCCCCACCCCCAGCGCACACCCTCTTGGTGTCGAGGAAGTGCCACGCCTGCCACGCTTCGCGAGCCCGAAACGCATAGGGGCCCCACCCCCAACGCACCCCTTTTGGTGTCGAGGAAGTGCCACGCCTGCCACGCCCTGCGAGCCCGAAACGCATAGGGCCCCACCCCCAGCGCACACCCTCTGGTGTCGAGGAAGTGCCACGCCTGCCACGCTCTGCGTGCCCGAAACGCATAGGGCCCCCACCCCCAGCGCACCCCCTTCTGGCGTCGAGGAAGTGCCACGCCTGCCACGCATTGCGAGCCCGAAACGGATAGGGCCCCCACCCCCAGCGCACCCCCTCTGGTGTCGAGGAAGTGCCACGCCTGCTACGCCTGGACGACCGTCGTGCATAGCGGCCATATCGGGACGCGTCTCATGTGGGTGCCCACTATGTGGCGCACACGTCGTGGATGTGTGATGCAGTGAACACGCCAGGCGCGCAATAGCGTTGTATGGTGTGTGTTGTGTGCGAATGTGTGCATACGTGCGGCTGTATGTAGACGCGTGTGTCATGTACTTGCCGTGCATGTGTTGAGCGCGGGTGGGGAGAGGAAGAGAAGGGAGGAGGGGAGGTGAGGCGCGGGTGCGCCGCGGCAGGGAAGAAACCAGAACCCCACGAAACATGTGGGGAGCAAAAATCAGAACCCCACGAAGCGTATGGGGAACTGTGCTGTGTTGTGCTGTGGGTGAGGGAGGAATGAAGAGGAGGGAGGAGGATGAGGAGGAGGAGGAGGAGGAGGAGGAGGAGGAGGTGAGACGCGGGTGCGGCGCGGCAGTGAAGAAAACCCAAACCCCACTAAACATGTGGGGAAGCATAAGTAGTTTGCAGAATCCTTTGCGCAAACATGGGACGAAACGCAACGCGCGCGTCGTCGCGCGCGCATGCCGAAATCATTATAACACCTTCGGTTCCGGACGGATTTCAAATTCGAGTGTCCAAGGAACATAAAACAAAGTTTCGAGTGTTTTGTGTTGGCTGGTGCATTTGCGCGGCCGCGCTAGCCCGCGCATGCTTGCGCGCGCAGCGGTCAGCTAGTGGCGCGACCGACGCGAACGCGGTGGCGCTGACCGCTGGGCACATCCCAGCGGGCACTCCTGTGCGAGTCGGCGACTTGGGCGGGCGCGGTATCATGGCAACGTCGACAAAGGTAGACACGATGATGATACGAGCGGTGCTCGTGACGATAGTGACAGCGACGACAAGGCAACCAATGACGGC